TCGTATTCTCTCTCTCTTTTCATCCCTCCCTCTCTCTCTAGAGGTTTCTTTATCTTCCTCTCCCTCTCTCTCTCTCTCTCAAGGTTTCTCGATCTTCATTTCTCTCCTTAGAAGTTTTTCTCTCTCTCTCTATCTCTCTCTCTGTCTCTCTCTCTCTCTCTCTCAAGGTTCTCCCTTTATAGAATTGAAAATCGACAACTGTTTGTTTCTGAGATTATTGGTTGGTGTCTATGACCTTCATCTTGAGTTTCTTTGATTTCATGTCAAGGAAATGAAAGATTTGTTGAAGGAAGAGGTATTCGTTTCTGATCAGTTCAAGAAAAGTTTCAAAATGGTTGACATTTCGATATGACTGGAGAATATTTTTTAATTTAGGCAGACAAAATGAGAATGTAGCGTTGTATTAAAACTCAGCGAGTGTGGCTCGGACTCGTCCGAGTGATTCAGGCTCGGCCAGATGTGGAGTCTAGAATACTAGAACCAAAGCCAGAACCAAACATTTGTTCTCAATAATTTGTTCTTATTTGGGGAGTTTATCAAAATACACGTAAGAGTTCAACCGTTCAACCTTTTACCCATTTCTGCAGTTTAATTTCAATCAAAATACACGACCATGAATTAGAATGGTTGAAAAAGGTTGAGCTGTCAAATTGTTGAAAGTTAGGTGTATTTTTATAAATTTCCTTTATTATTTTGTTTGGACTCGGTCAAGTCTTTGACAGTCTGAGCTAACTAGGGCGTCGGACCCTAGCCAGTCCCACACTGAATCCTTGTTTTAGAACACTACTGAGAACCATAGAGTATTTGGATGGAAAATTTATATGCATCAGAAAACTATACAAAGGATACCATAAGAACATTTGAGATATCTTTAGCCTTCCCAATCATTTTCTCTGCTACTCAATTGAGAACAAGATTCTTAGCATCAATAGATTTACTTAGAACTTCTCTCCACAGGTTGGTTGATTGATATAAAAATCTAGATGAGTCGAAAATCTGAATGCATCAGTTATAGAAGCTGAAATTACTTGGTGATAGTGATGAGTAAGGACCATCTGCCATTATGCAAATGGTTATTCTGTTGGATGAGAATCAAAATATACTGAGGTTGCTTGGGAATCCTGGGTCTTTAAGGATTTGGCCCTCACTCCATTAGTCCATGGTTTTTGGATTTAGCTAAGGTGAGATCTCTATAGATCCTCACACGCATGTGCTTTGGTATATTGTACAAGTTGCATCTCTAAATACAGGGTACACAGACCAGCTATTTGCGATCCGTCAATGAACAGGGGGGATAAGCCATTTTCCTGCTCATAGACCTAAAAGCAAAAAAATGCCCTAAGAACTAGAACACGGCTCATCTCCACCATCCACCAATTAGACCCGATGTTGGAAAGCTTATGTGTGCACCACACTATGTAAATCACATAAACATATCCTTTGATTTCATGGATCAAGACACTGTCCAATTCTTTCTTTTAGGCATTTTTCACTGGAACTTCCTGTAGTCTTCTGATTTTTTATCATTGAATCTCACTCATTCCTGATACCTCATCTGACATACCATTTCTTGAGCCCTATATTACTTGATTGAGGTCTAGGACTTGAACATACAATTATGCAGGGCTACATACACTACATGCCTCAGATACATCGGTTGAATGCAACTCGTAAATAAAGGGAATGGAGATTTGAGAAAGAAAATGGCAGAACGCATACCTGGAAACTTTAAACAAGCCCATTTTACTAACTAGCAGTTCAATAGCCTGGCTTTACAATAAACCCACTTGAAACGTCTACACAGTTTTTCTTTTGACCTTTGTATCATTCTCACCATAGCTTTGCCTAAAGAATTCCGGGAAAGTATATGTCCATGTTGATCGTTCTCCAGTGTAATGATGGGCAGGCATTAGAGAGAAGGGGCTCACCAATTTGGTCCATCTCTGGTTCTGGATGGTTCCATTCTCTCTCCTCCGCGATCCATAATTCCATTGGCCTGGGGTGATTCCAATGGAACAGTCCATTGGAGTATACATTACTTTCCTGTGAATAATTTGGGGCAACAATTGTATGTATGATTAGGTACAAAATTAAGAAATCCTAAAGAATGAGTATCACACGCTTTTACTAAAATAATTTTCATTTCTCACATCTGAATTATCTGATTTTGATTGGGTACATACTTAAAAGTATTCAATGAAATTGGTATTGTAGAGAAATGTAGTGCAATGTGCATGGACACGTAGATCTCGCAGCGAAGCTGCAAAGAAACCAAATAGGAAGTCCTGGAAACAGAAGACCGACATGTACATGAGACCGTTCTTACTAGATGTATTCTTCTCTAAGAGGTTCATCCATGCAAAGGTGATGCATCGAGGGACCAGCAAAGTGATTTCAGTGGCCTCCACAAATGCAAAGGATTTGAGGAATACATTGCCTTCTCTCAATGATGTGGATGCTTGCCGGACCATTGGGAGATTGATTGCTGAGCGATCAAAAGATGCTGATGTATTTGCTATGTCCTATGAACCGAGGAAGGGTGAGAGAATTGAAGGGAAGATTGGCATTCTACTCGACACTATAAAAGAAAATGGGATCATTTTTGTCTAAACCTTGTATGGATGTCTTCGTATGTAATTATATTGTTCTTGTTCTCTTTCTAAGCTATTGATTTCAGAAATCTAGCATATGCTTGAAAGATAAAACCCAATATTTAGATCCCTAATCCCTAGGATGAAGGGGGCCATTTTTTTTCTCTATTTTTTCTACAAGCCTAAGATTTAGATCCCTAATCCCTGTGATGGTTGTAAGAGCTAGGGTTTGCCAACTTTTTTTTTGTTTGTTTGTTTCTTTTAGGTATAACATGTAAGCATTGTACTTCAAGATGCGGAGAAGCATGCAATAACAAGGACATGAGAAGAAGAGTGCAAAGTGAAAAGACCATTGAAAAGCAGAGAGGTTTTGTAGAAAGGAGTCCAAACTCCAAAATCAAGGGATTCCCCTTGAATCCCCAATGGAGCAAGAGCATGGGTCCCATAATCTGCTTCCTATATATAGGAGGAAGATGGACAACACTCCATCATCTCTCTCTTGAATACAATACATTTTGCTACATGCACATCGAGTGACACATTTGCCAACTAATTTCCAAAGCTGGAGAACAAGCACAATAGAATTTCTAAGGCTCACTAAAAGACATTGAGGGGGATAGATAAAAGCACATAATATTCCATGGGTCCTCTGCTTTCGAATGTTTTATCCATTTTGTTAACTGATTTCCATTAGTTATTCATATATCTACATGCTCATTTAGTGGCATTTTAGTGAATTACTCTTTAAAATCAAGGGGTTCCATAAAAAGCATGAGAAAATGATGAAGCTTATGTACATTAAGTTACTACTAGAATCAAGGGCTTTCAAAGTTGGATACAATGTGAGGCCCTTATTTGCATGCCGCCACAAAATGTGCTTTGAGGTTGTTGAGGTGATTTCACATTTGGAAAAGTATACAATAAGAAGGTACAAAGAAGTTACAAACACCCTTAGCTATTAAACGTGTAATTTGGGAGGTAGCTTGTGTCATTGATCAGGTTCAAAGTCTAAATAAGATTTTACAAGTGTGATAGCTCAAGCTGTCAAATTTCATATCCGATAGCTAAGGGTGATTAATTTATCCATACTATAGGTAGATGATGTTATAGTATATAATAGAGAAATTATCGTTAATATACATTAATTTTAACAAAATTGAAAAAAAACCGCAAACTTTCCCAAACCTCGCCCATACTTTTTTTCCCAATTTTCACGATTTTTTGGACGAAAATGCCTTTTACGGTAGTTTTTTTACCGTAATGTTCTTAAACTTCTTTGTGGTCATAAAAAGACTGTAATAGTCCGAAGTTCGTTGGAATTTCAGTGGATATTGGACCATTACGGTCTTTTATGACCTTAATTGTCTTAAGGAGCACTACGGTACTAAGAGTACCGTAATGAGCATTATGGGACTCTTAGGACCGTAATGAGTTTCAATGGACTTCGGAGCATTACGGTCTTTTTATGACCGTAATGATATTAAGGAGCATTATGGTACTAAGACTACCGTAATGAGTATTACGGTACTCAAAGTACCGTAATTCTATCATGCCATTCCGGTAGAAAGACTACTGTAAAGGGCATTTTCATCTAAAAAATCACGAAAATTGATAAAAAGGGTGTGGGTGAGATTTTGAGTAGTTTGAGGTTTTTTTCTAATTTTGTTAAATTTAAAGTATATTAACGATAATTTCCCTATATAATACCATCTGTAGACTTGCGGAATCTTGCCACAAAATACATACCCAAAAGAGAAGGGAAGCTCATTGAAACTTTCAACTGACATTAAACACTTCAATTGCTGGCCTGTTTTACTTCTCAGTCTTCTGTGGGGAAAATGTAGTGAGTTCTGAATTGAAAGTCTGATGACTTCCAATTCTGTTATACCACTAAAACTATTGGCTCTATCAAGGTGTTAGATCAGTGATTTGGATCACTGAAATCAGTTAGACTCAACACTGATGGTGTTAAATGAGTGCCTATGAAGCTTCATATCCATATCTTACTTAGAAAATGACTGTCAGTGAAATTGGTAGTCGAGCTCATGCTTTTCCTGTATTTTGATTCAGCGGTGGCTCCGAAATAGAATCGCACACACAATTGTTGGGTGAGAATTTTCTGATGAGACTGTAAGTTGTCATACCTATAACTGGCTTGGGGGACCTGGAAGTTATGCTATGTCTATTTTGGTATTAGGCTGCCTGCTGATGATGTTTGTTTGTAGGTCCAAACTCTTGCTGCAAACTATATCTCCTCTGTTCAAATTCGCGTAGGCACTCAATTAGCTTGAATGGGTTTTAGGGCTAGGGCTGGACTGCATGGTCAACCCGACCTAGAAAAAGAGGGCCTGAGCCACAAAATTTGGCTTGAGGTCTGGGCCCGGTAGGTCCAGCCTGATTTTTTTTTCAATTTATATATATTTTCTCTTTTAATCTCCATTAGGCTTGCTACAACCCTAATGGGCCAAGGCCGGGTTCGGCCAGCAACCTAACCAAAGGCCTTAGGTAGGGCTGAGCATGGGTTGGATCAGGATTGGATCCACTAGGATTTCAATTCATATTCAGATCCGAAAAATATACATGGGTTCAGATCTGGATCCAATCAGATTCAAAATATTCAAAGCTGAATCTGGATCCAAAAAGCATACATGGGATTTGGATCAGGTTTCAAACTCTATCGGATAAAAAAAATAATATTTTATATATTATTTTATCTATAAAATAATAAATAACAAAAAATAGAGAAATTATCGTTAATATACCTTAATTTTAAGAAAATCACAAAAAAAAACCCAAACTTTCCAAAACCTCTGACACACTCTTTTTTCTCAATTTTCGGCTTTTTTTTGGATGAAAATACCTTTTACGGTAGTCTTTCTACCGAAATGCATTGCGACCGTTACGGTAATTGAAATACTGTTGTAAATAGAGATAGAATACTACGGTACTTCTAGTACCGTAATAACATAAACATATATTACGGTACTTTAATTATAGTAATAACATAGAGTATTACGGTACTTTAATTACCGTAATAACATAAAGTATTACAGTAATTAAAATACTGTAATATTTTAAAGTAATATTACGGTAATTTAAGTGCCGTAATATTGCCCAACTCAACACGAAAGATTTTTTTACTCTCTCACGCCTACTTTTTATTTACTCCCTTGACAAAAATCCACGTTAGCTCTAATTTTTCAAATCTTAAATTCTTAAGATATAATCTCTACCTAATTTTTATATGGTTCTCAAAATTTTAGAATGAAAACACACTTAAATAGATGTTTTTGAACAAGGGAGTAGATCCACATCGTGCTCCCATGGGAACATAGATTTTTTTGAAAAGGGTAACCTTGATATTAGCTTTGGTTTGAAGCTTTTAAAGTATTACGGTACTTACAATATTATGGTTAAGTACCATAATACTTTAAAAGCTAATGTTAGGGTTACCCTTTTCAAAAAATCTATGCTCCCATTGGAGCACCATGTGGATCTACTCTCTCGCTCAAAAACACCTATTTAAACGTGTTTTAGTTCTAAAATTTTAAGAACCATACAAAAATTAAGTTGAGATTATATCCTAAAAATTTGAGATTTGAAAAATTAGAACTAACGTGGATTTTTGTCGAGAGAGGAAGTAAATAGTAGGCTCGAGAGAGTAAACAATCTTTCGTAATGAGTTGGGCAATATTACGGTACTTAAATTACCGTAATACTACTTTAAAATATTTTAATTACCGTAATACTCTATGTTATTACGGTAATTAAAGTACCATAATAGATGTTTATGTTATTACAGTACCATAATTATATCTCTATTTACAACGGTATTTTAATTACCGTAATAGGTGCAATGCATTGTTATTATGGTAATTAAAGTACTGTAATAGATGTTTATCTTATTACGATACTATAAGTACCGTAATTCTATTTCTATTTACAAAGGTATTTTAATTATCGTAATGGTTGAATGCATTTACAACGGTATTTTAATTACTGTAATGGTCGCAATGCATTACGGTAGAAAGACTACCGTAAAGTGTATTTTCATCCAAAAAATACTGAAAATTGCAAAAAAAAGTGTGGGCGAGGTTTCTTAAAATTAAAGTATATTAACAATAATTTCTCCAAAAAATGCTATATAACATATACATATATGTATATGTATTATACTTTGGGAAATGTTTTGATACTTCCATTATAGCATAAAAGAGATATATTTCTCTTCCCATCCCAGTATATGTATTATACTTTGGGAAATGTTTCTATACTTTCATTATAGCATAGAAGATATATATTTCTCTACCCATCACACTGTTCAATTTAGATCAAGTGAGCCACTAACCGTTTGATCTAATGATCCAACGGCTCAAAATATTTTATTTTTAAATTTTTTTAACAAATTTTATGAATATAAAATTTGATACGTGTCATCTTCTCAATGGATTGCAACCAAAAAAATACATTAAAACAATTTGTTCGATAAAATATGATCAAAATATCCCTTGAAACTTTCAGGGGCATTTTAATCATTTTATTTTATTGAAAATATTTTTACAAATGCGAGTTTAAGAGAGAAGTGGACACCCAGAATTTGGTGTCAAAATAATTTGTAAAAAACAAAATTAAAAATAGAATAGTGTACAAACATGATATTGTGATTGGGGTCATCTTAACCGTCTATTCAAAATGGATGGTTGGAAGGAAGAAGTATAGAAATTTTATGCAGTAAAGGAAGAATAGAAAGCTTGCACAAATATTTTAATAATTGGGTTAGATCCGGATCGAATCTACTTGTACATAGATCCGATCCAAATTACTATTTAGATCCCTATAGAATCCGAATCTTAGATCCATATCTAGATCCGGATAAAATTTGAAATTCGGGTTTTGAATCCAATCCAGGTAAATTCTCACCCCAAGCCCTAAGTCAGGCTTGGGCTTCTTTGGCCTGACGGAGCTAAAGCCCTGGTCTTGCTAGTTGCCTGCCCTTGCTTTTATTCAATGAGGTATGATCATTACAAGTCCCTAGATTTTACAAACTCACCTAGGGCGACAACAACTTGCTTCAAATGATTTTATTCAGCTCCAAAGAATACTCATGCTTTTGTGTTGAACCCTCTCTCTCTCTCTCTCTCCCATACAGGAACTCGGTGAATCGGTTCTCAATTTCAATGAAAAAATGCGGTAAAATGTTATGGACCATTCATACATATACTCCATGTCCCACAAACATCAAATGACCACAATAGTCTTAACCATGATACATCAATCTCATCAGTCAACTCACAGTTCACACTGATGAATACCTCTATCCCATAATCAGTTTCCTCAAGGATGGTATCCTCTCATAAGGTAATTTTTTTGTGATTTTTGGTGAATTTTCATCTCCTAAATATGGAACTATGTACTTTCGCATGTCGCTTTTTGAGATGCCGAGGTGATTTCCAGGAACACTTATGAATTTCACTTTCCCAGCATCATCCAATGTCTTGAGACCGATCCAATCTTCGACATAGAGGGCTGTCTGCAAATTCCATAGCATGGCATTTGCATGTCGAAATTAGTTTGTAAATTATAGAGGACATGCAATTAAAAAAGGGAAAGAATTCTCTCTCCTATGGAGAGAGAGAGAGAGAGAGAGAGAGAGAGAGAGAGAGAGAGGAGGAGGAGAGAGAGACGACGAGAGAGTAGTAGTGTAGTACTACTACTAATTACGTTAGTTAGGTTGGTTAGTTATTTACGTTAGTTTAGTTACGTTAGTTAAGGTTAACGTTACGGTTAA